CAGAGCAGATAGACAAATAAAACATGTAACACTGGGTTAAAGACTCAACATTTTATTGCACAACAGGCTGTTTTATGAGGGGTACCTCAATCATCAGGTGCTAGGCTCTGAGTCTATATATATATATTATAAAAAAATAACAAGCAGTATGTATATTTGTATACATGTATCTGGGTATGTTTCATATATTTATTCATTTTATTTATGTACAATTTTCAATTTATTTTGCATCTAAATTTGTATACAGCTTAGTAATTGTATTTGATCTTGTGCAGGCTTCATCGGCACATATCCGTATGTTCTTGACGATGCTGGCAGTGTGCCATACTGTAGTACCGGAGCGGGAGCATGGAAAACTGAGTTACCAAGCCTCCTCACCAGGTATCTATGTATTCATATTTATTTATTTTTAGTTATTTATTTATTTTATTTACTTTTTTTTATTTATTATTTTTTTATTATTTATTTATAATAGAATAATAGTATTATTTATATTTATTACTTTTTTTATTCTCTTATACTTAGTGCAGTATTTATGGTGTTTTAGTTATTTATTTTATTTAATTTTTTTTTTTTATTGTTATTTATTTATAATAGAATAATATTATTATTTATATTTATTACATTTTTTTTTATCTCTTTTATTTAGTGCAGTATTTATGGTTTAAGCTCCCCTCTTGTAACTTCGCAAAAGTAGCCTCGAAAAGAAGCCCATTTTGAAAACAATTCCATTTAAATTTCGCAAAAATAAAAGCCCAGGGCTTCTATTCGAGTTTTTACTGTATATGACAGAAAGAGACAGAGTATGATGATAATTATAATGATGAAGTTGATTATTGAAGACTATAAATATGATAATAAGGATTTAATATTAATACTGTGGTAATCTTTATGCTGCTTAACACCAGTGCCTCTCTAATTATAATGTTGAACTTGATATAGTGCATTAGACGCCTCGATGTGCTTCTCATTATTACTCTGGTCATTGGATCAGACACATACTGTGTTTACCTCTCAAGGGAGGTATTCTACAATAGCAGAAGCAATAAAACCAACCAGGCACCTACACTACACAATCGCACATACTTTGTTATCATAAAATCAGGCTATAAAAAATGTTATATACTGACTACATAGATTCCAGGCATTTGATTCGTTGAAGCTGGGCCATGCCCTTCTAGTCGGTCAGTATGCCTACAATCTGTGTAGTGGTATATAAAACATATTTTTGCTGGGAATTTAATCGGGTCATGTTGTCTCGTGACATAGTACAGCTGCCTCCAGATCACTTGGGCTGTAATTTGAAACATGGCCTACAACCAAGTAAATATGGTATTATTATTATTATTATTATTATTATTATTATTATTTATTTATTTATGATATAAAAGAAAAATCCTTAGAATATAAAAAAAGACATTCATGAAAATGTAGAATAAATAAATACATAAACACTTAGAAATATTAAAGGATTAATTTGTTGTCATAAAGATAATTAAAGCGTGACTGTCTAATTTATTAAAATATGTAAAAGGCAGATGAAACAATTTTTTCTTCCTTCGAATCTGACCCCCACCCTTCCTCCTCTATATGTTTTGTATACTTGATGTATCATTGGAGGAAATAAATATTATTATTAAAAAGACATAGTTTCTAAGCACTTTGACCTCAGACTTCTCACTATGACCTGGTCATGCGACCTCAACTTGACCCGTAAGCGGCTGCAGATTTTGCCATTATAGCATGGGAACGGACGGTGCACCCCACAGATGCTTTCAGGGGCCATGTGGAAAAGTTGCTTGACTAAGGGCAAGTTAGTGGCTAGCCTAGGACTCACCAAACAGCAATCTTTTGATTCCAGGCCTACCTCAATATTTGATTTATGTTTACTTGTAGATGAGGGTGCTCTGGTGAAGGCAGCTAATGATCTTGGCTTTGTATTTACTGAAAGAACTCCAGAGTATGTGGAAATAGACGTAGTGAGTATTTTTACGTCAGAGGTCAACTAATAGGTAGTTTTCACCGCACGACGTTAACCGTAACTTTAACGTTAGTACCCAACATGCAACGCGATAACTCCTTTGTAAACAAATCAAAATATGCATGCGCACACATGTAACTAACGTACGTCGAGCATGTAAAATCCTGAAAGTAACGTACTCCGCAACGCAAGATAAATAAATTATGACGTCATCCGTTAAGGTTAACGTCGTGCAGCGAAAACTCCCTATTAATGCTGGGTGGGGGTTAGCTTTAATTATGTTGGTTATTTTAATATTATGACTCTACATTTGTAGCTTCGTAGTTGTCATGCATCACTTGACCCCCACCAGTAATTCCCATATTTGTGTCATCATTTTTCTTTATCATTTGTTGTTGTGACAACACCTATTGTTCATGCGATGCTTTGGGATGGATGGATTTATTTATGTTATTGAAACGGAAGTGTTTATTTAAAAATATTCAGCAATATTTGGTATATCCATATCCATAAGTACTGTATTTTTTAAGACCTGTCCAGACCATCAAATATTATTTAACGAGAACATGCGACATGTCTAAATATGGTCATGACATTACACCATGACCATATATAGGCACATCATTACCATATATAGGCACATCATTACCATATATAGTCACATCATTACTATATATGGGCATAATAATGTAATGTGTTTTGATTTACAGCATGGTGAAGTTGAACGCTATTACATACTTAATGTTTTGGAGTTTACAAGGTATGTTTTTTTAAATTTTGAAACAGAAAAAGAATTGATCACCCTTACAGGTTTCTTTAAGATCATTTTAAAATTTGAATTGGGTCATTCCGTGAAACTTTTACTTCAAAAACAACCTTTTGTGCTTATTTCAGTCATGCACTCTGGTGGTAAGGGACACAATGTTTAATTATTAAGATATTGGGCCCCCAAAAGTGGCTCTTGTGCGAGAATGGTGAAAAGCACTGTTATTTCACAATTCCGGGGTCGGTACAATATCTTACTAATTAAAGACTGTGTTCCTTACCAGACTACGTGACTGAAATAAGCACAAAAGTTTTTCTAGAAGTAAAGGTTTTATGGCTATAGGCAGTAGTACACTGATAATATTGTGCTCATATTTAAAATATATGTTACTATGCAATTCTTGCACTCGAGCCATTTTTTGGTGCAAAATATCATACTAACTAACCACTCTGTCCCTTAA